TACTTTCTTCTGTTTCTTGTGCAACCAATCATTCTTTAAATACCTTTGCAAAACATACTTTCTCTCGGCGGGATATTTTTTGAAAAGGCTGTTGTAACTACAGCTAATCCAGGCACAACTGGAAAGGATCCAATCTGGGTTGATCACCTGGACCAGAGGTTTAGTCTTCTAAGCTTTTGGACTCGTGCTGGAGCCCATCTTCAGGGAAGTTCTCTCTCACCAGAATGTGAGAGAGACTGACTCAGATTGGATCCTGAAACATTATCCTGGGACATGTATATTTGCCTTCATTCATAACTGGTAAAGTCAACTCTGTGGGGATTGAGTCAAGCACTTGGCATTTGTCAAATATAATTCGTTCAGAGATTTTCTTATGGGTTTTCTTAAAAATTCCAGATTTTGGACATGATAATGTGTGTGCTGCAGAGCAGAATATTAGTTTTAGCTTAACCTTTAACTTTTGAACGGTGTAGCCCAGTGATGGCGAACCTTTTAGAGACTGAGTGCCCAAACTGCAACCCAAAACCCACTTATGCATCGTCAGGTGCCGGGTTGGTGTGGCCCATTGGCTGGGTGTGGCCAATTGGCTGGGTGTGGCCCATTGGCTGGGTGTAGCCCATTGGGTGGGCATGGCTACAGTGATAACGGCAGACTGGGTGGGACTAAAACGTTCAATCAATTCCAACTTTGCAAGGTCTTTTTTTTCCCCGTGAGAAGTTGAAATTGACTGAACCTTTTTTTTTTGCACACGGCAGAGGCCTATAGCGAAAAGGTTTTATAAAACCCAGCTGAAGGCCTAGGACTGGGGCGATGGTACGTGTGCCCACAGAGAGGGCTCTGAGTGCCGCCTCTGGCACCTGTGCCATAGGTTCTCCACCACTGGTGTAGCCTATCCTAAAATGATTCTTTCTGATCCATAGCTTTTCACGGATTTATCAAATAAGTATAAGGTATTACTAAATAAATAGTTTGGGGGAACTTGAGGCAGCCGTTTAGATTTCCCGCTTGAATAAATGCAAACAATACTACCCAATTCTCACCTTTTGGCAGGTCTAGTTTTTATCATCGGTAGTCACAACCATATAATTAAAGACACCAGCAAATGGAATATGAGATGGAACATGCAGAATCCTTTATACACTCCACAGAGGTAGGACATGCACTGGATAAGTTAGTTAGCAGAAGATATTATTTCTTATTTTCATGCCAGAAATAATTACAACATTCCATTTGGAAATATTCAAACATTTTATAGGAGTATATCAGTAATTAAACAAATCATTGTGCAAGATTACCTCTCAACTGAGGTATCAATTGGCTATTGGGCAGCTTAAAAAGAACATGGATGCTTTCCTTTAATAGGAAAGATGGGGCATAGAATAGTGTCTATATTTCTACCGAGTCTTAAATACACTGATAATGGAAATGTCCCTTGCTTTCCTAGCGTTCTTCTGTTCCTTTAACTATGTTTTGGTTAATTTTACAATTGGCTACCCACCTGTTATAATACTTTTTATCATTAAACAAAATTAATTTTAAAAATGGTCTGGTGCTGTCTGCTTTTAATGGAATTGGAGTTTCTTTAGTCCTATAATCTGCCTCATGAGGCTTGTCTGTCTTCTAGGAAGTACAGCATTGCATCATTAAAATATCACCCCCTGCTGAGAAAAAACATCAGTCCTGTTCACTAAATGGCAATGCTGAAGCGGTGACAAGTGTTTGTAAAAACTGTATTAAAAATTCATTTATTCTTAGCTAAGCATTTAGCTAAGCATAAATGAATTTAACAAATAATGGATAATAATAAATTACTGTGCTCTTGTTGTTAACAAATATGTCTGTGCAAAGGACCACATAAAAATAATAAATGTTCTTCCATCCCAGCAGTAGTTCTATGGTACCAAAAGGAAGCTGCAGTTCTGAATTCAATAGCTTTGGAATGGAGAGCCTTGAAGCAAGATTGCTGGATGGGACTAGACTTCCTTAAAGAATTATGTGATCAAATTCATATTGCCATGTTCATTTGACATTGTTCACCTAAAGCAGGAAATTTTTCATAATCAGTAGCCCCCTGACTCTCATATCAAAGGAATAACACTGGAAGGTTAATGTCAGCCATGGGTTTTTTTGTTTTTTTGCTTTATATGTGATGCCAGTGTTTGGCCCCATAATTTTCTCAGCTTGCTTTATTTCTCCTTTTTATATATGGAGGAGAGGCAGATATTTAAGAACCTTTCTTGCACAAAAAGGCTTATTCTTTCTTGCTACATAATTAGCACTTGTTTATGACACAACCTCTGATCTGATTTTTAAAACAAATTGCACAGTAAAGAAGCTGATATTTAAACTGTATGGTAACCATGGCTCCAGCTGTGATTCAAATATTGTAAGCCTTCAGGGGTTGTATTAGGCTTAGAAAATAGGAACTGAGGCCTGTAATTTAATGTCTGTCTTTTAAAAACTGCATTTTTTAGGAGAAAAAAATGCATTCCATAGAATTTAAAATATTGACTCATTCTGAGAAAACAGCCTTTTCAAACCTCACTAGAGACTACTCAGATCCATTAACTTAACAGTGGAAGAAGGAGGAAAGGAAGACAATAAAACAAAACCCCCGTTAAAGATTGCAGGAAAATGATGACCAGCATGAAATCAGAGTGAGATAATGGCTTCAGAACACTGGGAGGGAGAACATTGAGAAGGTAACCTTAGAAGTCAGGTAAAATATTCAGAACAACATTTGAGTTTTAGTGTAAGACTGAAATGCTGAAGGTAGTTCATCTGGATAATGCACTGAATTGTGTTGGTGATAAATGGAATCATGCTTGTAAAATGTGTATAGAAAGGTTTTGTTTCAATTTCTGCACAAAACAATTATGTTAACATGGTTAAGAAACTTTGAGGAATTGTTGTCAAGATATCTTGGGATTTTAAAACATCATCAGTTAGCAGTATTACTTTTACTATAATTACATGGGAATGTTGAGTTCTTAACACAGGCAAGAAACTTTGCAATCTTGACAATTGGAAAAAACTCCTTTTAAAATGAAATTAATGCTATTGGTCCATTTTCTGCTGCTTTCTTAAGGGTAGAATCATGATACAATCTCTCCTGACATCGTCCTATTTATGTTGATTAATTATTTTAGACACATGTACAGATATATGCGGGCACACTTATGATATTGAGACAATTTCTGTGCATGTATTAAGAGCAATTTTTCCACATTATCTGGGAAATGTGAATTGAATCAACCTGATTTGGTTCAGATCTCAGTACTGAATCTGATGAGCTTTTTAAAATCAAACTGGCAGGTTGAATCAAATGAGTGATTCAAAATGAATTTTGACCGACAAACCATGGCAGTTCAGCATCGATGTGCTCTACATAGGGAGCTGCCCTTGAAGACCATCCAAGAGCTACAACTTGTCCAGAATGCAGTGGTGAACGCAGTAATGGGTGCCCATGTAATACCTCTATTGCACAAGCTGTGTGGGCTTCCAGTTTCCTTCAGGGTGCAGTTCAAGATGCTTGTTATTACTTTTAAAATTCTATATGGCCCAGAGCTAGCTTATCTGCAGAACCACCTTTCCCTAAGAACAGATTAGTTAGGGTAGCCATGCGCTTAGTAGTCCCCTCCCTTAAACATTGCCATCCTAAGGCAGCTAGGAAGCACCTCTTTTTCATGGCACCCCATGCCATATGGAACATAATTCTCCCTGAAGTTCAGCAGACTTCTACCCTCTTAACCTTCGGAAAAGCACTAAAGACCTGGCTTTCTCATCAAGCACTGGGATAGTTGGATGTAATATACAGTAATTATGTACTGACAATGAAAAGTCCTTTAAGGAATCTCCGAATGAGAGTCTTTCTGAAAATTCAGAATAGATTTATGGTTCCTGCCAGAAGATAGGATAAAACAGAAATGCAATAGGGAAAGATTGCCCTAAGAATTGTGTTTTTTTTTTTTTTCCTAATAGTATACAGAAGATTGTCGGCTTTTTCAAATTAATTTATTGTTATTTTATTAAGGTTATGGTTTTCTAAAAAATAACTTTCTTGTTATATACTACAGATTTATTCAAGCATCAGTTACCAATTGTGATGAGAGAAAAAAAGATGAAACATATATCTCAATTTATCACAGCCCACCCTTTCATCAGATACAAATACAGAAGACATTGAGTCATTATGTCACAATGCATTTAATTCCTCCCTACCCACCCCATGCCAGATGTCTGTATATTAGCTTCTTCTATTATCTTGGTGGTGGCGCAGTGGTTAGAATGCAGTGTTGCAGGTTAATTCTGCCCACTGCCAGGAGTTTGAGCCTGAGGGGGCTCAAAGTTGACTCAGCCCTCCATCCTTCTGAGGTTGGTAAAAGAAGGATCCAGATTGTTGGGGGCAATGTGCTAACATTATAAACTGCTCAGATAGTGCTGTAAAGTACTGTGAAGCAATATATAAGTTTAAGTGCTATTGCTATCTTTTATTCTATTACCACATATGTCATACATCCAAACATCACTAATGCATTGTTGAAGTTTGCAAGTACTATATTTTCATATTTTAGAGCAATGTGAACATCAGTTTTTATAACCTGTACCAAGTTACATTTGTACTGTGCAGAAAATGACTTAAAGAGTTGCAAAAAGCATGAAGCGGTTTCATTGGGGACATAACCTGAATCAAAATGTTCACTCTAATTCAGATTAAATGCAGAGTATGTTGAGGTGGAGGGTTGTATGTCCCTTACTATACTTTTTAAAAGATTTTAGTACCTGAGCTGTGCTATACTGATAAATTTTATTGGAATGGAGTCTTTATAGAATTTTAAGTTTCCCTCCCCTGCAACTATAGTTCTATTACTGTACAGTATTTTGCACTTATACCTTACTTGAAAATTATATCGGAATATATGTTATTATCACCTGGAACAAAAGTTAGGATAGCCAGGTCTCAATATAAAAGAAGATCTCTTATGTCTATTCTTTCCTAGCCACGAATACACATGCCTAAAGATGGATTCCAGCTTACATCTTCTGGATACCAAGCATGGCTAAAGCAGGTTGGACTGTATTACTGTTTCTTATTTATGGTTAGAGTTTGCACTAGAAACATGTGCTTGTTTCATTAGTAAAATATATACAGAATTCAACTCCTATTCTGTAATCAAATACCAGTGCCATTTCTATATTCACGTGCATTTTGTGTCTGCATGCTGTGTACATTTCCACTTCTCATGAGTAAAAGTTCAAACAAGGATCATCAGAAGGGAGAGTGGAACAATACCTAGAAAGATGGGAAACAACAACTTAAATTGCCGAATTAAAATTAACCTTCAAGTGTGAAGATCTATAGTGGTGGTAATAACAGGGAGGGCAATGGGTTAATACACAGGAGACTTACATCTAGAGCCTAATTCAGATTTGATTGGGTAAAACAAGTGTGGACATTTGCTCATATCCCATAACAATCCTGCAGTTTGACACAATCTGACACTGTTGGGAGTCCCTGCTCAGACGTAGTCTAGTGCTATATTACTTTGGTGATTATTAAAGGCCAAGCTTTAGATGTTTCGGCACTCTGGCTCTAGCAATTGCTGTCAGCATCTTAAAACAAATCTAGTATAACAATTCTCCCCAAAGAATCCTGTTTTAAACTTTGCATGTGTGACACATGCATGCTTGTGGTAGTAATTTTTGTGGGAAAATGCAGTAGAGATGAAAAGTTACACCTTTGTTGAAAGTAGGAATTATGTCATGGTATTGAAAAAGTAAAACAATGAAGATAAACTACATACTATGCTTATAGTTAGAGTAATGAACATTTTGCTGAAATAAATGTCTCTTTGGAGTTCTGGTTGTTAGCCGCCCTGAGTCCGCAAGGAGAAGGGCGGGATATAAATTAAATTAATAAATAAATAAATAAATTAATAAACTACATTGAAAAATCCATTAAATCAGGGGTGTCAAACTCGCAACGTCACGTGACGTGTTGCGACGTATCACGACTTTTTTCCATTGCCGCCAATGGGGTGGGCGCGGTTTCAGCATGATGCATCCGGCCCGTGGGCGGGCAGTTTGACACCCCTGCATTAAATTAAGCAGGATATAAAATAAAATTAAACATACTTTTAAAAGAAAGGGTAGAATTTTGAATGTTTCAGTGATTTTTTATATGTGGCTCTAGAATCAGACTGAAGATCCAATTATTGAATGTGTAAAATCTGATGGAATTTTACGAAGAATTGCCAAGGGAATGTGAGGTTTTCTCTTTCAAAAATAGAATCTAGTAATAATAAAATTTAAATGAAGTGTCCCAAAGATACTTTTTCACGAGGCAACTGTAGTTTCTTGACTTCTCAAGAAAGTCCAGTTGCCTTGTGAAAAAGCACCTTTGGGATAACTATGACCTGGATGACTGAGAATCTCCATAGACATTTAAATGAAGTGTATATACCAGTGATGGCGAACCTTTTAGAGACTGAGTGCCCAAACTGCAACCCAAAACCCACTTATGCATCGTTGAGTGCCGGGTGGGTGTGGCCCATTGGCTGGGTGTGACCAATTGGGTGGGCTTGGCTGCGGTGGTAATGGCAGACTGGGTGGGATTAAAAAGTTCAATCAATCAATTCCAACTTTGCAAGATCTTTTTTTTTCCCACGAGAAGTTGAAATTGACTGATTGAACCTTTTTTTTTTTTTTTTGCACATGGCGGCGGAGGCCTAAAGTGAAAAGGTTTTATAAAACCCAGCTGAAGGCCTAGGACTGGGGCGATGGCGCGTGTGCCCATAGAGAGGGCTCTGAGTGCCACCTCTGGCATCCGTGCCATAGGTTCGCCACCACTGGTATATACCTTACCTTAAAGAGAGAGACAAACCTTCAAATTGAGCTCACTTCCTCATGAGTACATGGATATGTCCCTGCAATTTTCTTTGTAACAATACATACCACTTTGTTTCTCTGGAACATTTTCTCGGCATCCCAGTCTAGCATTCCCTAACTAACTCCTAGTCAAGAATTAACTAGGCTTGATTCTGTTTACCTTTCTCAACTGGTGCTGCTACCTGCTGAGCCATAGTGCACCTAATCATTAACTTATATGTTATAGTACAGAAGAAACAAATTTATTAAGTCAATATGTTTTTATTCTATAACTAGGATAGAATAGCTAAGAGTTAATCATGTAATAATTTAGTCATGTTATTTCTTTTCAAGACTATTTTTGCATAAATCAGTAAGATCAGAAAAAGGTTTAAAACATGGAATATGAATTTGCCTGTTTAAATTAATTAGGTTAAATCATAGTTGAAGTCTTTATATTTCCTGACTTTATGATCATATTACTTGCCTAAGCTACATTTTTATAAGAGTAGGTATCACTGAGTTTACCCATTCACCATTATACTCCAATAATGGTGATACTCCAATAATGCTTAACAGAAACTTTAATGCATGGTTTACAGCTGAATGTGTTATTTTTCTATTCTTTTCAAAGTCTTTACCCACTGAGTGAATAATGGCAGTAACTCATGCACCTTTACCATGTATTAAATGCAGTATTTCTGGGGAGTTATTTTTATAGCTGGAGAGAAAGCAATACGCCAAGGATTCTACATCCTCATATTGATCCAAAATAAATGAGTAAATAAGGTTGAAATTATTTGCAGTATTTTATTTGCAGTGTGGATAGTTTTCCTCCTCTTTCAGGTATTTTTCAGCAATGACTACTTGTGTTTCTAAAATAAATATGTTGCTTTTTCTTGTATACCTGTTCTTTGTCCCCTTCTTTGAATTGGCTTTGTTTTTTAAATTGTTATGTGGCAGAATATAATCAGCAGAATTGAATTATGATATGAAAAAAATATTAGAAAGAAAATGCTATTAAAAAGTAACATTGTAGCAAATCTTTTAGCTTGACCAAGCCTTTAGCAAAATCTTGGTTTATGTGCAAACTGTTTTCCAAATTATTTCTTTCACTGGCAGTAGTGTTTTCCCTTTGCATTACTTTCTATTGATCTAGTGTCTGATTTATACATTAAATATAAGTAGCTTAGTAAAAGTGATCTTAAGACTAATTTATATTATAAATAAAAATGAAACAAAATGGATTTCTGCAAGGCTGGTCATGCAGTGAAATAGTAATAAAGCTGACCATTTTATTTAAAAATAATTGAATAGATTTGAATAATTTTAGCAACCTAAATTCAGAATAACTGTTGAGCAGAAGCTGTGAGGGGTCAGTCATATTACTATTACTACTCTTGGTAGGCTTTTACAGAGAGTGGTATACTAAAATGAAGAGTAGTTGTTACCGGTGAACAAATTTTGTCCTTTTGTTTTATGAGCATAAGCTTTGGAGAGAAATAGATGTCTATGTTTCTTTTTAAGATTTTGATCTTGACTTTTTCCTTCCAATGAATGCCTTGTCCATTGACCAGTAACATTCCATCCTCAGCATGGTAATATATTTTTTTAACAGTAAGTATCCATTGGGAAAAATTGATATGCTTTTTAATAGTTTAAAAGATGCTTGCTTTTTCTTTGCCTAATCATTTAAAAATTTGATTATTGAATTATGAAATGATAGGTTTCATTCAGACATGATAGCAAGCAATGAAATTCAACTATTGTTCATTTTAAACATCTGAATGGACATGGACTACCAAACAGCAAATGTGACAATAGTTGGATGGGCAGAAAATATAAAAAAGAAAAAAAGGGCAAAAAGGAAGAAAAAAGGGGGAGGGGGAAAGGGAAAGTATATAAAAAAGGAAACAAAACAAAAGAAATATAGAAAGAAATATCTTCCCCCTTCATAAAGACAAGTAGAAATATTTTCACTAAATCAACATCTTTTCTAATATTTCAGTCAATATTTCAGTCAGTCTTCATCCCATATCTCCTGTTTTATCTGTTGGCAAATAATAAAATCTCATCTTTGAATTTTAAGCAGCAAAAGTCCATTAAGAGATTCCAGAGGGGAAAATATATGTATTTCATTCCTTTATATTATTTACTAAATTTATATCACCCCTCTTGCCTTGAGATGGCTGTACTTTACACAATATCTTGCCATTTTCTCCAAAAATACAAAGAAAAAAAATCTACCATATCTCATCTTGTATCTTTAAACAAATCTGTAAATTATTCAGATAAAAAAATCCATTAAAAACTACTAGAATCAATAAATTAAAAATATTAATCTTTAATCCCTTCAAATGATGTCCCACAAATTAATTTCTTCACTTCATCTTCTCTCAATTTTAAAATAATTAATCACTTTCTCTAAAAATACAGCAAAACTCTCTTCCTATATTTGTCTATAAACAAATCTTTAAAGTTTCATCATTCAGTCCTAGTCAAGAAAACCCATTAAAAGCTGTTTAAAAAAGAGGATCATATATAGTTTAACCTTGATCAACTAAGCCAACTTCTTCGTTTTAGTTTTAAAGGTCTTAATTATTTCTTTTAGGTAACGTTGGAAAAGCTGATAGCTTCTCTCTTTTCTTTTTCTCAGGAAATAATATAGTGTATGTCTTTTGTAAATCCAAAGTAAAAAAATTGTCCAGTTAAAATCCACATATCCAAGTCACTCTTCTGGTTTATTATTTGTTTACCTTTTAACTATTAAAACCTCGGTAGGTTTCATTTGTAGGTCCTGTATAACATATTTGTCAACATCATTCTTATATCATGTCAATTTTAAATCCATATCCTAAACAGCCTGATTCTCAGTTATATCAGCAGTAGCTCTGGTCTCTCTTCCACTTTTAGAAGACTTTTAGAAAAGTCTAAAGCGAGTGTGACCAACTTTTGGCCCATGGGCCACATGCAGTCCTGGACAGCTAGTAATGCGGCCCTTTAAGTTCATAAACTTTTAAAATTATAGTGATTTTTAGTGATATTTACATACCATATTATATATTTTATATATGGCCCAAGACCATTCCTTTTCATTTAGTGCAGTCCAGGCAAGCCTAAAGGTTGGATAGCCATGGTCTAAAGGGCATTATTTTGCGTTCATTGTTGCCAAATATCCTTAAATTCTTCCAGAATTAATATA